CAGATGTTTTTCAAATTTCCACAGGTAACCTACAATAGTGACATCTTGCAGAATAATGTCCTTTGCTATTTTTAACCCCACTTCCTTTCACAAAGTACATCCAAACATTTTGAAGAAGGTCGTCCAATAATAATTCATGAATTTCTAATTTGATTCTAAAAATATTTTGAATTATGCAAATATATAATTAATCTTATTTTTTTAATTCAAATAACTGTCATATAAGATGAAAATAATTCTTCTAATGGACCTTCTTTTACTTTATACCATTGTCAGCAGTTGATAAAAAATAAATAAATTTATTATAAATTTTCTTAGATTAATTATTATATATACATACAACTAATTATATATATAAAAAATGTACTATATACAGAATGTTTTTGGTTTAGGATTCGATTTTTGACTGAAACTGAGATTTTTACCAAAAGTGTTGTATTAATAGAAATAATGCTCTCTTTAGATGTCAAACCCGTTTTTTAATCAGAAAAAACTTGGATGTTGACACGATCAGATTTATTAACATCAGTAGATTGTTGGCGCCGGATAAATAAATAATAAACTGCCACAAGAACAATAAGAGCCGTGCCAACAATTGATCCCAGAACTATGCCTACAGCTCCAGCCATTGAAAGTTGAATATCAGAAGTTGACATGGTGGAGGGTGAGGTTATGGGTGCGATTGTGGGTGAGGTTGTGGATGTGATTGTGGGTGAGGTTGTGAATGCAGTGGTGGATGTAGCGGTATTGTTTTTTAATAAATCGAGTTTCCTGTTGAAAGTTGAAATGATGTAATTAAAATCTCGATTTGCATATGAGAAATGATCTCAAACTCAGCATACCCTAAAATATTCCATGTTTGTGCATTTGCACAATCATCTTGAGTCACATTGGCAACAGAGTCAACACCCTTCATACAAAGATTAGAGAATATGTTCTATTTTTGAGGATGTGTGTTAGACAATTTATTAGTAATTGTTATTTATTATTAGCATCAAATTTTCAAATTTTTACCTTTATCATGCATTTAGTGTGGTATGGTACCCAGTCCTCTGTGGAACTTGTCTGAATATCACAGATATCACATTCAATGGAAAATTTTTGGTTATCCCTATTACACAGGTAAACTCGATAAGTCGGATTTGGCCTAACTCGGACAAAAATTTCCAGCCCTTTTTTTTTATATTTAAAA